TCTCAGAAGCATTAGCAATTATTTTAAACAACTCATTGAGAATGGGTGAAGTCCTATCATCCAATCTAATTTCCTTCTTTTATAGGGTTACCAGCCTAGTGGATAGGAGGAAGTAGTAGACATAGAATCACAGAATCATAGAATTGTAGGAGTGGAAGGGACCTTGACAGGTCATGTAGTCTACTTCCCTGCACTCATGGCAGGGATAAGTATTATCTAGACCATCCCTGACAGGTGTTTGTCTAACCTGCTCTTAAAGACCTCCAATGATGGATATTCCACAACCTTCCTAAGCAATTTATTCCAGTGCTTAACTACCCTGACAGTTAGGAAGTTTTTCCTAAAGTCCAACCTAAACTGCCCTTGCTGCAATTTAAGCCCATTGCTTCTTGTTCTATCCTCAGAGATTGAGAACAATTTCCCCCTCCTCCTTGTAACAGTCTTTTATATACTTGAAAACTGTTATGTCCCCTTTCAGTCTTCTCTTCTCCAGACTAAACAAGCCCATTTTTTCAATCTTCCTTCATAGGTCATGTTTTCTAGACCTTTAATTATTTTTGTTGCTCTTCTCTGGACTTTCTCCAATCTGTTCACCTTTTTCCTGAAACGTGGTGCCCAGAACTGGAAAAAAACAAACAAACTTCAGTTGAGATCTATTCAGCATGGAGTAGAGTGGAAGAATTACTTCTCATGTCTTGCTTACAACATTCCTGCTAATACATCTCAGAATGACGTTTGCTTTTTTTGCAACAGTGTTACAATGTTGACTCATATTTAGTTTGTGATTCACTATGACCCACAGATCACTTTCTGCAGTGCTCCTTCCTACGTAGTCATTTTCCATTTTGTATGTGTGCAACTGACTGTTCTTTCTTAAGTGGAGTACTTTGCATTTGTCCTTATTGAATTTCAACCTATTTTCTTCAGACCATTTCTCCAGTTTGTCTAGATCATTTTGAATTTTGATCCTATCCTCCAGAGCACTTCCAACCCTTCCCAGCTTGGTATCATATGCAAACTTTGTAAGTGTACTTTCTGAGCCATTATCTCAATTACTGATGAAGATATTGAACAGATCTGGACCCAGAACTGATCCCTGTGGGACCCCATTCAATATGCCCTTCCAGTTTGACTATGAACCACTGATAACTACTCTCTGGGAATGGTTTTCCAACCAGTTATGCACCCACCCACCTTATATAAAGTAGCTCCATCTGGGTGCCACATTTTAGGAAAGATGTGAACAAATTGGAGATAGTCCAGAGGAGAGCAACAGAAATGATAAATTTAGATAACATGACCTATGCGGAAAGGTTAAAAAACTGGGCACGTTTAGTCTTGAGAAAAGAAGAATGAGGAGGGACTTGATAACTCTTCAAATATGCTAAGGGCTGTTTAAAGAGGATGGCGGTCAATTGTTCTCCATGTTCACTGAAGGTAGGACAAGTAGTGATTGGCTTAATCCACAGCAAGGGAGATTTAATTTAGATATTAAGAAAAACTTTCTAACTGTAAGGATAGGTAAACACTGGAATAGGTTACCAAGGGAGGTTGTGGAATCCCTGTCATTGGAGGTTTTTAAGAATAGGTTAGACAAACACCTGCCAGGGATAGTCTAGGTATACTTGGGTACCCCCTCAACACGCAAGGGATGGATTAGATGACCTCTTGAGGTCCCTGCCAGCCCTACATTTCTATGATTCTCTATACCAATATAAGGGCATAGATGTATAGAAAGATAATTACACTGATTATTATGTTTGATCATGACAAGCAATCTACTCTCTTTTTCCCCTTTAATAGAGCACTGGTCTATGGAGACTTCCTTCTTCTCTCATCTTGCCTCTCGTTCGAATCTTAGAATTCCTTTAGGTTTTCCCTTTACATTGTTTGTGCTGATTAACTTTCATGATCATTCCAATATGTATCTAATTAACCCTCCATTTTGCAGTTCTTTATGGATGTCAAGATGAAGGGACTTACCTCCCATATATTAAATGAATGAAGAAGCCTATCCCCCCCCCATTTCCATGTGTAAATTATGGAGTAGGTAAGATTTTTGTTTTCCATCCAAGGAAAAATAAATCTCTGTGGAAATTCCTGCATATCATCCCATCAAATGATATGCAAAAGGCTTGCTTCCCTGTGGAAAGGGCCACACAACTTGCTCATAAACTTGACAGATCCCCAGGTATCTATGGAAGACCAGGGTAACTTTCCTTGGCTCCTGAGAAGAATAGTTGTGTTAGAACCCCCTGGATTCAGCTGCTTCTGTAACCACAAAAAGGTGTAGTGTGGGGGAATGGTCTGTAGTACAGGTAACAGACTGTGCGGGTGGAGGGGTTTTTTCTCCCAGGCCATCCATTTCTCTCCTTTGCAGTTTATGGAAGGGTAATGTATAGTGCTGAGAGGGCGGCTGAGTCCCTCTTCTGTCACAGAAGGAAGGAGATTTTCTCTATGTTGAAAGCTAAGCAAGACAACTTAGGCTAAAGCCTTTAAAAATTCCAGCACGAGCACTGCATTCACGCCTGACTTTCCTTCCCCCTCACCCAAACTCATTCCTTAAGGAAAACAAATTCATGACAAAAGAAGTACACAATGTACTATAGAAGGGAAGGGGTTTGGACATGAGAATAGACAATGTAACTAAGTCATTTTTCTTAGCTGCATCTATTTCAGTTATATCCATGGAGTGTGTCTAGAAGCATGCACTGCTAAAAACAAGCAAGATTTATGATGCTGACAGAAATCCTGAATAACCTCCAAGCTCTACAGAGATCCTCTCTGTGCCATTGGTAATGTGAAGTTGAAACTGCATAATTTTTAATGTTTTTATATTTAGACATAACAGAGGCAAAATACATGGTACACACTGTGCAGGACTGGAAAAAAAGTGAGGATTAATGGAAGAGTAAGGTGATTTTACTGTTTTTTCACAAATATTTCACCTAAAGAATCTACTCTGGCTCAGTTTCAGACTTCAATAACTAGCCCAGGCTTGCAGATAACACAGCAATAATTAAATATTAATGAAGTAGTAAATATATAATGGAGATTTTCTCTCCCTCTTTTCTTCTCCACCACCCACCCACCCATTTAATTTTAGCTCTAATTGTATTATTATGCAGTAGTTGAAAACATCTGAGGCAATAACTGGGCAAGGCTATCAGCCTAAATTAAGTTCCCTTGGCATTGTTTCAGTGGCATAAAGAAAAGTTTAAAGTTGCACTTAGAGAAACCCCCTCCCCTGAGGGAATCCTCTGGTGATACACAGCCAGCATGGCACATACTATACCACCTACTCCTTCCCCCTGCATATAGATGGTGTTGTGAGGCCGGCCAGGAAGTGAGAAGGGTATGGCCAGATCAGCCTGCAGTCTGTTGCTCCTTAGCCAGCCAAATGATTCCTAAGGGACTGTTCCAGTTGGCATACATTAGAGTGGGTGCAGAACTATTCTAACATGGACAGAGAGCTGTTTTAAACCCCAGCTGGCCTCAGGAGCCAGGCAAGAAGAAAGGTGACTTAACAGCACTGAATTTTCTCTTCCTGGAAGCCTAGCTTCTGCCATTCAGGGGAGAAAAGGGGTAAAGAAATCTGTAGCATTTGAAAGATGTTCAAGGGTGACCTCCTAGGAAATAGAGGAAGATAGGGGGAAAGAAGAGATGGTTAATGGGGAAAAGAATGAAAAGAGTAAACAAGTGAGTGAGGGAGTAAGGTAGCAAGGAAGGGAATGGAGGAATACATTTTAAAAAATGTTAAAAGGATCTATGTAATATTTGTATTTGTTATTTTTAATTAAACTTGTATAATAAAATATTTGGATGGGACATTGTCTTGGTACTGACTTCACGAGCACTATTTGTATGAGAAAAATGACTCATGTACCCACTGCCCAGTGTTTGCCGCACCATGAGGCACTCATAATTAACTTTATTCTAAATATCTGCATTTGACACAATTCTTGATACTTCCATCAAATTATAACATTTTAATAGAGTGTAACTGTAAACTTTTTCTAACACGGTATTTACAAAGGTTACTATTAAAAAGTCAACATTTCAGATAAGTTTCCACACCATGGAAATATCACTGTTATTGTCCTATCACCTTGCTGTCAAATGATAAATGACTTCTAATAGAGGCCACGTTAAAAAGTTGAGAAATTATCAAATTCCCTCCCACGTGTATCAGGGAGGAAAAATCATTTCAAATGTATGGAAAGAGAAAAATTTTCCTAATCTCTGTTTTGTTTTCTCCAATTTTTACCTTGTATTTAATATACATGAAAATTATTACACACCTAGAGAATGTTCAATTTCCATGATGTTTAAAACACAGAATGTCAATATATAGTAAGCCTGAAACGACATTAAATATATAACATGCAATACTGTTACATGCAACATGTGATCCCCTTAAAACCTTGCCATTTGCAAAGATAACTGTTTAAACATTATATAGTTGCTCATTCTATGTGTTGAGAATACAACAAATGAAGTAAATTATGGTAAAAGCAGTAAATGACAAGTTTTTAAGAACACTAATGTATATATTTTCAGAGCTCTATCCAGCCCACAAGTACATGGGTGCAACTTTCTGTGGCAATCAATGAGAGTTGCATTCATGTATCTGAGGGCAGAATAAATCCCTATTTGTGTAGTTACTCAGTTTAAATTATTTATATTACAAATGTTATATTGGTTGAGAAGCTATAAAATGCTTTGCCAATGTAAAACATATACTGGATCATGGTGAAAAAGCACTTTCCCATGTGGACGGTAACTCAGTTAAACTCAGTTTACATCCAATCCTGCAGCGCTTTGGAAAAACTTTGCTCATCCTGTACCCACTCATGTCACTAGGAGTTTTGCCATTGACTCCAAAGGGAGAAGGTTCAAACTCTTCCTGACAGCACGCTGTGCAATTTATCTAGCTATGTTGTTTTCCCCCTTGCCTTTCAGCTGCCACCTCCATAACTTTTTACATTTGCTCCTCATACCTTGAGAATTTTGTACATGATCTCATAAACTGAAAACGTTTTTTCAGCTCGTGTCCAATCCCACGTGGTGACCTCGAAAAAACAAAAAAATACAATAAATAATGTAATTTTACTTTGTCTTAATGATATAGTTTATAGCCCATTTTGTCCTGTCCCAAAGATCTTCTTTCATTGATACACTGCATATGCACAGAAGAGACACACAACATTGCCTTAGAGAACTGTTACCATGGGCCACATTGACACATTTAGCCCTCAGGTAGCAGTGGTGAGGAGGCACACTACTCCACAAGGAGCCCAAAGAGACATTGTACCTCAGGGAAGCACTGTCCCTCCCTGAGTGTCCTGGGGTACAGTGGGGCTGTATTCAGGCAGTATCATCCTTTAGGGTGGTGCAACCAGCTTTCCTGTATGTTCAAGAGTGGGGTTGGGCCAAGCCTCCATCTTCTCCCTGCTGCCTTTGGAGTGTTGTTGGCTGCTGCAGATGCATTGAGGGAGCAGTCCCTGAGCAATCCTGACAGACCTTTGCACAGGACTTGTAAAAAAGGCATTATTTTTGCACTTCCCCTCACTGAGAAGACATGTAAAGGCCTGTTGCACACTGCCCCTATGTAGTGTTATGTTTATTATTTATATTGTGGTAAGGCCCCCAAATATACACAAGGACACTACTGCACTAAGCGGTGAAGAAACACCTAACAAAAGACAGTCCCCAAAGAGTTTACAATCCAAATACAGGATAAGAGACAATAGCTAACAGGGGGAGGGATAGCTCAGTGGTTTGAGCATTGGCCTGCTAAACCCAGGGTTGTGAGTTTAATCCTTGAGGGGGCCACATAGGATCTGGGGCAAAATCAGTACTTGGTCTTGCTAGTGAAAGCAGGGGGCTGGACTCGATGACCTTTCGGGGTCCCTTCCAGTTCTATGAGATAGGTATATCTCCATATAGTATGTCTTCACTACCGGCCGGCTTGGCAGGCAGTGATCGATCCAGTGGGGATCGATTTATCGCGTCTAGTCTAGACACGATAAATCGATCCCCGAGCACTCTCCCGTCGACTCCTGTATTCCAGCTCAGCGAGAGGAGTAGGCAGAGTCGACGGGGGAGCGGCAGCAATCGACTCACCATAGTGAAGACACCACGGTAAGTAGATCTAAGTATGTCAGCTACGTTATTGATGTAGCTGAAGTTGCGTAACTTAGATCAACCTGCCTCCTCCCCTCCCCCGAGTGTAGACCAGGCCTAAGAATCATATTTGTATTAGCGAGTGTCTACTCTTGCACCCCTTCAAACCTTAAGCTCTGAAAAATATTTCTGGCCCACCTAAAAGTTTATCCCAGGACATAAAATTTATTTTTACAAGTATTAATTTTAAAACAATTGTATTACATGGAAACATTACAGATTATAATAAAGGGTCAATAAAATGATATAAGGGCTAATTAATAGGATTTAGAAAGGACAGAAACAGGCAGCAAAATGTATACAGTCTGGAGAAGAATCAAGAAAGATATGATCACACTCTATAAATACCTTCAAGGAAACGGAGAGAAAGGAAAGAAAGGAACTATTCATAGTTTCAGAAGACAGAGGAACAAGGAACAGTGGTCTGAAAAGTTGAGGTTATATATTAGAAAAAAAGTTCTTAACAGTAAAAGAAATTGGACAGTGGAATAGAACCCTATGAAAGTGGTTGAGACATCATTGCTATTGATATTCAAGAACAGGACAAATGAAAGAGCAAATGTATTTGGTTTCCAAGACTTGAGAATAAAAATATCCTTTAAAATATATGAGAGAACTTATTGCTTTACCTAAGTGAAACCACAGACATGCATGAGAGAGGTATGTTAGATTGTTGAGGAGCTATTGTGGAAAGGATTGGGGTAATATAGCAATCCAGGACTTTATAAAGTGTTTGCTCACTTTTTATGTTGTATCATGCATAGATTTGTTTAACTGTTTTATAATGATTGCTTCAAAATAATATTAAAACACCAAGATGTTTGCTGGTATCATATAAATTTCTATTTTTCATCTGTTTTCTACATAAATGAGACCTGCTAAAGGATGACACTGTGTCTTTATGGTTAATTTGATTATGGAGTTGCATGACAAATGTGCTAATAGTACTAAATCTTGTTGAGCATATAGATTAAAATAATTGAAACTCAGACAAGAGAAGCATAAGCCCAATCACTTTATCTTACTAAAATAAAATTCAGTAATGAAAAGATCAAAAAGATTAAGTGTTATATTTGCTCTTTTAATAGAGTTCTAATTATCTGCAGTCATCTATGTTACATGGTTCACCTCCCCCCCCATCCTTTCTATTACAACAAATGATAAAAAGGATATTTAGATTCAATCATATACCTCCAAATCCTGAAGTCTTTACTCAAAAAAACCCGCATTTCTGTGCAAGGGACTTTTGCTTGTGTAAACAATGCAGGATTTGGCCCTTATTTGTTTTCTCTAAATCTCTCTTTTATATCCTTAATTACATTTAGTAAGGAACAAGAGTGTTAGCACTGCATAGAGTATAATTAACTTCTTAACTGGGCTGTAGCCTATTAAAGTCTTGGTTTATGGGTGGCAATCAGAGAAGCCCATACAGGAACAAAAACAAAGGAAGATTTTCCTAGTACGAGTTACCATCCTGCAAACCTTTATTCATACAAATAGTCCCATACCTCACATGAGTAATCACAATAAAGTAAATGGGACTACTCATATGAATAAAAATTCTCACACTGGCATGTCCACGTGTTTTATGTTTGGTAAAATGTACTGCAAATATGTTATAAATACATGCCAGCATATGTACACATACATGAGGACAAACCATAGCTGACAAACCATATTTGATAGAGTGCTACTACTGAGAAATAGGGAATTATGTGAAAATATATAATTACTTTGTGATTGAATCCTACTTGGCTAAACAGAGGAATAAGGACAGGCGAAGCACACACTGCCCATACAGAATCTACTCAGATCCCAGCTCTGGGCATGGGGATGGCATGCATGATACTCTACCCTCTGAGCAAGAGGTGGAGCCCTGGCTCTACCTCCTCCCAAACACTGGCCAGCACAGTTGCCTAGATGCAAGTATATTTTCTCAGGAGCAGAGGAGGAACTGTGACTCAGAGGGTGCCTGAGACACAACACCATTCTACACTTGCTACCTTTTAGAACTTAAAAAGAAGATGAAGACGACAAACTAGTGTCATGGCTGCTTTTTTGAGTATAGTTAGGAGAAAGTGTTATTGTTCAAATGGGAAGGGGGAAAAAAAAGAGCAGATCATAGAATCATAGAAGATTAGGGCTGGAAGAGACCTCAGGAGGTCATCTAGTCCAACCCTCTGCTCAAAGCAGGACCAACACCAACTAAATCATCCCAGCCAGGGCTTTGTCAAGCCGGGCCTTAAAAACCTCTAAGGATGGAGGTTCCACCACCTCCCTAGGTAACCCATTCCAGTGCTTCACCACCCTCCTAGTGAAATAGTTTTTTCCTAATATCCAACTTAGACCTCCCCCACTGCAACTTGAGACTATTGCTTCTTGTTCAAATCATAGAATATCAGGATTGGAAGGGACCTCAGGAGGTCATCTAGTCCACCCCCCTGCTCAAAGCAGGACCAATCCCCAGACAGATTTTTGCCCCAGATCCCTAAATGGCCTCCTCAAGGATTGAACTCACAACCGTGGGTTTAGCAGACCAATGCTCAAACCACTGAACTATGCTACCACTGAGAACAGCCTAGTTCCATCCTCTTTGGAACCGCCCTTCAGGTAGTTGAAGGCTGCTATCAAATCCCCCCTCACTCTTCTCTTCTGCAGACTAAATAACCCCAGTTCCCTCAGCCTCTCCTCATAAATCATGTGCCCCAACCCCCTAATCATTTTCGTTGCCCTCCAGTGGACTCTCTCCAATTTGTCCACATCCCTTCTTTAGTGTGTGTGTGGGGGGGAAACTGGACACAATAGTCCAGATGAGGCCTCACCAGTGCCGAATAGAGAGGAATAATCACTTCCCTCGATCTACTGGCAATGCTCCTACTAATACAGCCCAATATGCCTATAACTCACTCTGTGCAAGCACATACACTACTAATATTACACAATTTATCACAGGCCAAAAAAAAAATTTTTCTGTGAGAGCTCCTTGTAAAAATATTGGCATCACATCCCTGTTTAGAAAGCAACTTGATTCAGGGAGCTTATGCTGCAAAAAAGTATAGTCCTTTTATGACTCCCATTTAAGTAACCCATAATTAGAAGCTGAAAAATTGTAGTATTGAAACAGTTTGATGATAATCTTTGAAAATTACAAGAAAAAAAGAACACATATTGCTATATGATTGCAAACAGAACAGTGTGCACAAAAGTGTGTGGTTATAAAACATGATGTTCAAAATCCTTTTTATAACTATTGCAATCTTTTACAATAAAGCAATTTTGTCCAATACCCCAAAACGTGCATGCATTGCACTTACTGTCTGGTGAAAATGACTCATCCAAAGTTTTTATTTTTTATTTTAAGGCACTCAGTGTCATTCTCTTTCAATGTGCACTATAGGACATACAATTTTACTTTGGTTTCCTTCCCAGCTCATGGAGAAAAGGCATTTTTTCCCCTCTGATTCTAAGCTCTAATTTCTCTTTGCCTGTCTTAGAACCAAGGGCCAGAGTCTGATACCCTTACTCATACTGGGTGGGATATTTTGCTGCACAGAACTTGTAGCCCAGGAGAAAGGAGGGGTAAAGTGCCTTTAATCCCTGGAAACTGTCCAAGCTACAGCAGCCGTTTGGGGCTGCCCTAAGTGCAGCACGACTGTCTGGAATCTCAGCAATATCGGGTGCTGTGGTCTCTCCTGCCTCTAGCACACCCACTATGTGTGTAGGTGTTTGGGGTGGGGAGGGAGGAGGTGCTTATGGCCATCTTCTACAAGTGCCTGTGCCAAGAGAATCCTTCCATGGTCAGATCCAGAGGTTTTAGAGCCACTTTATACTATTTGAGCCTTTTACCCAGTGTGAAAGGGCCAGACTGACAATGAAACTCTCATCCAGTGATTGTCCACTCTCATGAATTCTATGTGAATTTGGCCCAGGGCTGGAGGCAGTCACAGATGTGAGAATCTCCAGCCCGCTTGCAAATGTCAGCTTTTCCTGGGGGAGAACCCCCTCTGATTGGCTATCTTCCCCACTGCCTCACTGGAGAACAGTATAATATTTTTATTAAAAAAATACTTGATAAGTAGTTCCATTGAAGTCAGTAGGACTACTTCTGGAATAAGGTGCTACTCAGCACCAGTAAGAACATTAGAATCTGGTCCTGAATGAAAATTTAAAAAAAAAATCAGAACTCCTTGAAAAAGTTCTCTCCAAAACTAACAAGTGAATAATTGTGCTGTGTCGGGGTCAGATTCATCCACCCTTATTCACAGTGAGTGGTAACTTTCAATCTGCTCTACAGGACATAGAAATTTATTTCTGTTTCCCTCCCAGCTCAGAGAGAGAAGACATTTTTCCCTCCAGTTCTAAGCTTTAATTTCCTCTCTGCCTCCTCTCAGAACCAAAGGCCGGTGAGCAGCCCCATTGAAATCATTGAGACTTCTTGCTCAGGTCCTCATGCATCAAAGCACCTAAGCATAGGCAGTACAGCTAATTCCAAAAGTTCAAAAATCATGAGATTCTCTTGTGTTTTCCGTCTGTCTTTTGAATTTTTAACTCCCCTTGCCACGCCCAATGTGTGTGACAATTGATGTGCTTATCTTAAAGCACATGCTTAAATCTATTCCTACCCAATAAAGCACTTAACTGTGTGTTTTACTGTAATGGGACCTCAGGACTGCATAAATGCTTTGCTGAGCAGAAGTAAAAAAAAAACCTGAGCTTTGTTGAGTTAGGGCTCAAGTGAGGCACTACTCAACATGAGTAAGAGCAGTAAAAATTGGCCCTAAACATTTTGCTGGTTAAATTCAAATTAAACCAACAATATTACTCAGCCCAATTTCCCCTTCCCCTATCTCCCTCCCCTCTGCTGCTCTCACACAGTATAAAAAGTCACATTCAAGATGAAATCTGGAAACATAGATGTTCTGAAAATTCATTTCCACAGCATGCAAAAGGCTCTGATAGTCCCCATGCCTTCAGCTGTCTGAATCTGGAAGGCTGGCTATCATTCAGCACAATCTAACCAGTTTGCTTCAGGCTGGTTGACCTTTCCATACCTAGCACCAACAACGTGTTTCCCTTCCAACTTTGCCAAGGGCTCCTGGTAAGTGGGCAGAAAAGTGCTTACTAGCTGCACTTCATACCTTTGATAATTATTTTACAGAACTTTAACTTTTTATTCCCCATAATTTTTCACTATTATATAAGACATCCTGGTAGACAGCGGAAAGATCCACCTATCACTGTGTAAAATGCTTGTATGCATTGTATCGTATAAAATTATTTTAAATACACTTTTCCCTGCTTAATATGAGAAATATACTTACTGGAGGTGCTATAAACTTGTAAAGAGAGGAACCCCTCAGAGCTAGAAACTTTGGTGTGTACATTCGGTCCTGAAGGGAGTCTTGTTCCCGTTCTTCTGTCCAGCCCATATAGACTATCTGATGGAAAAATCAATAGTGTTGGTGAATTCCACATACATTACATGTTCATCATACAAATTATGCTGATGCCCTTCAAATCCTATTTAACTAAAGATCCTGAACTGGTGATTCAAAATGACATATTTGTAATTCACTTATAATTATATAATCACATAAAGAAAGCCTATTCAAGGGAAACTGTCAGAAAAAACTTTCATTGTACCAACAAAAGTAAAAGGCAAATATATATATCAGAAGTTTATCATTCCATAAAAAACTTGCTGGAGTCATTCTAAATATGCTGAAATTTCAAATTAAAGGACTTTAATGAAGTGTAAGAAACCAAGTAACCATAAAGCTAGAGTAAATATCAAGTAGGGGTTGAAAGTTCTTATTTGTGTAATCCTGGCTGGTGATTTGTTGCCTTCTGTGGAAAGAAAGGATTCAGTATGAGAGAGAAGGCATGCTATTTGTATTTCAATTGTATAGCTTCATCCAAGGACCTTAACATAATTTTCAGACATTACTCAAATATCATGGTATTTGGTTGATATTATTTTACCAATCTGACATACAACTAAACTAAGGGTCAGCAAGCTTCAATGATTTACCCCATACCACACAGCCTGTAACTGACAGAGTTGTGAATTAAAACATAGTAGCAGTATACTGCACTTATTACTATAAAAAAGATTTCCACTATAGCATGAATGAAAAAATATAAGCTAAAACACGCAAATATAAGTTATACATATTAAAACTGAAATATTGTATATACCTCATCAACTGAATGCAGCATAGAATTATTCATGTTATTAGTATACTATCTACTTTAACTATGTACTCCAGTTCAAAAGTCTTAAGTTAGAAGCAATATGCCCATCTGAAACTTGTAAAGTATAATTATAATTTTAAATAATTGGGTTAAGAAAGGAATGCTACATAATTTATACTTTGTTTCAGGGTTTTTCTTTTTGTTGTTAGTTTTTGCTTATATAACATTCATTATTTCATCCTGCATAATATATTTGAACATTTTCTAAGAACTGTAACTACTATGAAAAACAGAGATGGACCCAATGGCCGCTCTGCCAAACAAAAAAATAGGCCAATTCCCCTTTCACCATCCCCACTAAAAAGGCAGAGCAAGGAAAAAGAAGGAACACTGGAGTAAAACTGTTATATCATGGTATAACTACAGCTATACTCACCAGATACAATTTTGTGGTTGTCTAATGACAACCTTTGGATACTGTACCTATTCAATGGGAGTTACTGGGTGGATCAACCCTTTTGAAACTCAAACCTGTTATTTAGGTTCCTAACCTGGGTTTAGGAGCCTGCCTTGAGGCACTTTTTGAAAATCTTGGCCTATATCTACACTGTATTCAGAGAGCTGGGGACTCCTTAAAATCACCATCTCCTCTTTGGAAATTGATTACTTAAATTAGAATGTAACTATGCACCAATCTATGGTATGTGAGTGAGTCAAGACCAAAAGTAGAAGAACCAGAGTATTTCCAGAGTACTGGTATCCATAGCTGTGGAGAAACCATGCACATGGACTAAACACATCCACGAACACCTGATTAACTAATACATTTCTTTGGCTGATAATAAACCGACTTCCAGTGTAGAAAGTAAAATATCACAGAAAATAGACAAACCAATATCTATTTCATATAGAACGGTTAATGGAATAGACCTGTTAATTTTAGAGCAATAAGATTGTGTAATTTGTTTCTACCCTCATAAGCATGGGCTTTTCTCTGTTCAGGGTTCTGATGTATTGCAGATTGAGTACTGAGATACAAAGGGCCTGGTCTGGCCAATGCTTACGTATGAGTAATTTTATACACATTAGTCGTCAATAGGACTACCTACATAAAAAAAATTACTACTGTGAGTAAAATGATTCACCTTCCTGTTTGCATGATTTGGGCATGACTCAACCTATGATATTTCAGGACCCTGGATGGAGAATGTTCCATCATTTTTTTAAGAGCAGAAACAACATACACAAGTTTATTGCTCCAAAATTAATGGCTCTATATATTAATACCAGCTCTAGGGGTATGTCTACTCTGCAGTTAAACACCCGCGGCTGGCCTTTGTCAGCTGACTTGGGCTCACGGGGCTCAGTCTAAGGGGCTGTTTAATTGTAGTAGACATTCAAGTTCAGGCTGGAGCCCAAGTCTTGGACCCTCCCCATCATCGGGGTCCCAGAGCCTGGACTCCAGCCCAAGCCTGAATGTCTAAACAGCAATTTCCCCTTAGCCCAAACCCCACAAGCCTGGGTCAGATGACATGGACAGTATAGACATACCCTGCAGGGTTTGTGTTTCTGCTACATTTTATTGTTGCCAGTTTTATGCCAGACGTGAGACTAAATTATCATTATGATCCCTTCTGGCCTGAAAATCCATTAACTCAATGGGTCCACTCCAATGAGCAAAATTAAGCATAAAGCCTAAACCTCTTTTGTAAGATCCCAAGGGAAAGGTTATATTGCACATATATACTCAGAGTGAGAGAGACGATCATAAGTACAATGAGGCAAGGTTTAAAGAACTATTCCACTGAAAACCCTAATTTATTTCCCTTTGTTAATGGTACTTGGGATGTCATTCACGGTGCCAGAAAAATCAGAAGTGTGCGCCTGAGATTTCTTAAGAGCCTGAGGAGGTAACTGACTTAAATGCACTACTCAAGTGAGTAAAATTATTCACACATATAAGACTATGTAAGGTTGGGACAAGACTTAGCAAAATATTTTTGATGATGTCAGATAAATGGCAAATGATTTCTGATTTCTGGAGACTGATACAGTTGCATGGTGAAAGGAATTAAACTGAATTTAGTAGGTTCTAGCTTTTGATTTGTTTAATTGGAATTGGATACACAGTAAGATACCACTAGACAGGCAAAAGACCTGTTAAGTAAATCTATCTGAAACAAAGGAATGTATGTTTTACTCAATTTACTTATAAGTAGTAAACAGGGTCCTTCAGACAGCAGGGAGAGGAAATGGAGTAAACAAAACAATTTTCATTTCAGCAAACATAAGTGGGGGAAGAAAGAGTGTCACCTTCCTCACTGCTTGAATAAACATTACTTGGAGGGATAACCTTCAGAAGAAAACAAAGGGGTGGGAAACCCCAAGTTCTCTCTTTCACCCAAGAAGACAAATGCAGCTGTGCCTTTGGGAGAGATCCTGACCAAGGAGAGGGTCAGTCACCATCTTGCTGGAAGGCTGTGGGGAGAAAGGCCATCTTGAATAAAACCATGAACCAAAATTTGCTGGATTAAGTTTTAGACTGTTAGATGAGTGTTTTCATTTTTATTTGCTGGTAACCATTTCTAACGTTTTCTCTCATGCTTGAATTCACTTAAAATCCTATCTTCTTTTGGTAATAAACTTGTTTTATTTTTAACTGAAACTAATCCAGTGTTGTGTTTAAACTGAACTGGTTGGTAACTTCAGTTAAAGTAAAAAACCTGTTGAATATTGACTCCTTAAAGAGGCAACAAACCTTAATATTTCTCTGAACTGTCCAGGAGAGGGCTGGATGTGGCAGAACACATTTTTGTGGGAAAATATGGGACAGGGAGTGTGTTGAGGTTACCCTGCAAGTAGTAACCAAGGCTGGTGGGAGCCAGAGTAGTGCTGTAGACCAGCTACTCGGGTCAGAGCTGCTGAATCAGGGCTGTTTACCACAGACACTCAGGTTGTGATATGCATGCTGTCAAACTGTTTGTGAGCTGCCCAGGTTGAGAGCTAAATCAGCAATGCACTGTGAGGCATCCAAGTTTACAGGGCAAGTGGTGACACAACCACTCATTGGTAATATATTGAACCCCAGAATGCGACAACCACGTGGCCTGAAGATACTTAGTATTTTTGTAGTATGGTAAGTAATTTGTGTTCAGCTGGTAGTTTCTCTTTTCCACAACTCTGATGACATTTTATAAAGTTTGTACTTCTACTATTCATCAGCCTAACAGGATAAAGTCACTCATGCTATGTGGATGTATTGATATTTTAAATTTGATTACTTCACTACTAAAGCAGCCATGAGATATTTGAGATTTTTTTCCCTTGACTCTACATCATGGGAAGAAGTTAAACTGATTTTGCAGACAATATCCTTTATTGAGGATTTATTAACAAAAAAGGGCTTTTCTCTTTCAAGCTAAAATACCACCATCAAACCTACAGAGGGACTGTTAATCAAAACACTATCAGATTGTCAGTAAGTATATTTCTAAAATCCCTTTTCTGTAATTTAAATGAATAAAACATAGCCATACAGATTCTAAAGAATAGAAAGGTTGGCCCAATATATTAGTGTTTTATTTTTTAAAATTATTTTCTACTACAGTGGCCTCAAGTTCCTATGAATAAATTAGACACGTGAAACTGGAGAAAGCATAGGCGCTACACGCAGTAAGATGATTGGAAATGGATAAAGAATATCCTGTCTTTCAGGAGATAAAATCGAATCCATAGCCTTGTGATATTTTAGATTTTGATAAACATGCTAACTTTGATTCAAAGACAAAATCTAGAACAACAGTGGGAATCTCATTAATTTAAAATGGACAGTTTTTTAATTCTGGAGCTCAATGGCTCATTTATGGAGTGTGATAAATATAAATAAGAAAGAAAAACTTTTAAACACAAAAGATGACCCAAGGAATTATGTACCATGGCAGGTCCCCTTCTGATCCTGCACAAGGATCTGCAAGCATGGACTCCATCACAAAATCTTATTCAATTTAATTGGATTCCACATGGAAAGAAAGAACAATGATTCTGAGTCCCTTTGCAGAACTAGGACCTAAAGATCCTTGACTGCATACATACAAACACAGAACTCATCGTATATACCAGTCATATATATGTAGAATAGAATTTAACTATCTATCCACTGAGCTGAAGGAGTATCGCTACTAATTCAGCCAAGAAAGGGAACTGAGCGGCGCATCAGACAACTTCATGTCTCAGAAGCGGTATG